ACGTGCGCAACTTGCACACGGGTCCTCCAAGATTTTTCGCCCTTGTCCGAGAAGGCTAGGTGTAGATCTTTCCTACCAGAAGATCAGGGGTGTGGCAGAAAGACAGCAGTAAAGAGGGGCCAAGGAGTAGCAGTAGAAAGGAAGTGGCTATTCTCATCCGGGGTGAGAATAGAAAAACGATCTACCTCTCACCCCGGGTGAGACTTGCCAGCGTAGGCTATTCTCACCCGGTGCGAAACAAGACCTGCTTTTCCTCATTTTGGAATACTCAAATACTGTCTATCGGTGTGGATGATCAAATAGATAAAAGCCAAGAAAAAATTACGTTATAGCACAAAAGTAAGCTAATTTGATCGTCTTCAAAGATGCTATGGCTATTTCACTGTTCGAATCGAGCCGAACTACGCGGGTCTCCATTTTGTTTTGCCCGGAAGTTCTCTCAAGATCTACTCCTCCCCTCTCTCTCTCTCTCTCTCTCTGTCTCTTTCTGAATACTGTCTATCGGTGTGGACGATCAAATTGACCAAAACAAAGTTAAAAAATGATGTTAAAACACAAAAGTAAATTAATTTGGTTGTCTACAAAGATGCTACGGCTATTTAACTTTTCGAATCGAGCAGAACTACGCGGGTCGCCATTTTGTTTTGACCGGAAGTTCTCACGCTACTCCTCTCTCTGTCTCTTTCTCTCTCTCTCCACTGCCCACATACAAAATTGTACGCTTTTAGTAGGCTACAGTTGTAATGGAACGTTTGTTCACGGCACAGAATTCTACAATTTTTCTGTTATCACAGTGTAGAATTCTGTGGTTTAGGGTGAACGCAAAATTTGTTGGCCTAGATCTAGGCTATAACAGTGAACGCGCACCGGGTGAGAATAGCCAAAAGACTAGCCTACACTATTCTCATCCCGGGTGAGAATAGAGGTGCCCTGCAGAAAGAGTCAGGAGCCCAGAGGAGGGGGCAAAGGAGGTGAGGGGGTGGGGGCAGAAAGTGGAAAGGAAAGCAGACTACAGAACATTGCTAGAGAGCAGGAAAAGAGGTGAAAGGAGACAATTTTAGAGAAGAAAATTTTTTTGGTCGCTACCAGGATCCGAACCAGGGACCTTTGAATGAGAGGCCAACACTAACCTCTAGGCCACGAGAGCCCCCTTTCTAGGGTTTAATGGATTTATGTTCGGTGGGTGCGATCTCTGTCGATTTGCGCGATCCACTGATCGCGCAGCGCATTTGGTTGATCGAGGAAACGCGCGACAATCCATCGATTGTTGCACATTCTGTTGATCAGTGGATCGCGCAGCGCTTTTTGTCGATCCGTGTGGTTGCGCTTTCTATCTAGATCTTACCCCTGAGTTTTGTTATATGTTTTGTTGTCGTCCAGAGTGTAATTTCGTTTCACTCTCCAAAGTCAAACCGAAACTGAATGAGAATGGAAGTACATGACAATGTAACTGGAAGTCAGGGTTACAATAACTTACTAATCTACATATCGCAGTAACAGAAGTTGAAATTAGGGTTATAGGTCAGTATTACTCATTCAATATGGAACAGTTCACGGCGATGGAGAAGAAGGGCAATTATTGTCTGAAAATCCTCTGGGTCTGCATAACTGACAAAAGAGAAGTTTGACATGATTGTTAAACATTTGTCTTTGAAGCAGCCAGAAAAAACTACTGATACCCATTTCCGACATTGGGCAAAAAATAAGCGATTTTCCTTGATGAACATGCAGCTAGGGCATTGGTTTTTAATCAACACACAACAATTTATGGTATTTTTTTACTAATACACCCGTCTCATGTACACGTTTGATATACTTTTATTCTAGCAGTATTTTGCATGCTGAACCGCAAATCAATAGTTATTGAGATATTGATGTTTGAAAATAGTAAATTTAACTATTAATGGGGGATTTCAGGGGGGCATGCCCCCCTGACCTAAAAAGAATCTGGTGGGTTTGCCCGGGTGGCGGCCGAAGCCTACTCTTATCGATTTTAGACCACCAAGGGATCTTTATCGTGCGCAACTTGCACACGCGCCCTCCGAGATTTTTCGCCCTTGTCCGAGAAGGCTAGGTGTAGATCTTTCCTACCAGAAGATCAGGGGTGTGGCTGAAAGACAGCAGTAAGAAGAAGCGAAGGAGTAGCAGTAGAAAGGCTACAGAAAGAATCAGGAGCCCAGAGGTAGGGGCAAAGGAGGTGAGGGGGTGGGGGCAGAAAGAGGAGACGAAAGCAGACGACAGAACATTGCTAGAGAGCAGGAAATGAGGTGAAAGGAGACAAATTTAGATAAGAAAATTTTTCGGTCGCTACCCGGATTCGAACCCGGGACCTTTGAATGAGAG